AGAAAATTATTTTTAAAATAAGTTTTTAAACAGACCCTAAGTCTTTTCATCCAATGCCACAAGGGAAATCTCATCACCTACTGCTGTGTCTTTACAAAAAGTTACTTGTTCTCTAAGGCTGATGATCATGACTTTTCATTTGTAGTTGTTATTTTTCAAAAATTTTATTTTCAGTCTTTTCTTCTAGACACTTCCCTAATGTCAACTTTTTGAATTGGCCTTAACCCTACAGTCTCTCTCTTTAATAAATACTATTTGTTTGATAAAAAAATCCACATAACAACCTATCTTAAACTTCATAGGAAATATTATTTTTGATCTATATTTTTTTTAAATTTTATTATAAATCTTTATATTTTTTTAAATATTTTAGGTCTCTATATTTTGCATCATCTATAACATTTTCATCATTTACAATATTAATTCCTATAATTTAAGAGAGATATTGATGTAACAAAGGGTGGAGTTACATTAGCCTGAGGGTTTGGGGAAAATTACAAATGGAGCATGTAAATTTTGTAACTTTGCACCTTGTGAAGTGAATTAAAAACATTTGAGCTCAAAAATTTATTAGATATATAATATTTTAATAATCTAGATTATATATGAAGCGCATAATAAAAGAACATATTAACATGTTTAATATAATTTTTTTAAATAAAAAATAATGATCAATCCATTATGTTGTTACAACTTTAGTCCTAGCATAATTATTATTTAAAAAAAATTAATTTTTTATTAAATTATTTTTCACTCCCTAGTCTAGATCCTAATTACACCATTGGATGTAACATAAATTGTGTTAAGATTGTTGACTTGTCAACTAACACCATTAAATTTGTGTTGATGAGTTCAATGAGACCTGAGTTGGATTTTTTAATGAGAAAAATAAATTAAAAAAAGCCACATCAAATAAAAAAAAGTTTGACCTAGAGTGAAAAAAAAATCTTAACTTAAAATATTTATAAAATATCTCAAAAAATATTTAAAATATATTTTAATCTTGATTTTTAAACTTTAAGACCCACAATTTTTTTAAAAATGTCAAATCTTCTACATTTTTTAAGTATTCCAAAAATATATTTTATATTTTTATAATATAAGAATAATTAATTTTAAAATAAAAAATAATTTGTGAAAAAAATTAAAAAAATTTAGCAATTCGGCTATTAGAATGAGGCCAAAGATGTTAGGGCTGGTTTTGGCTATTTGGTTTTTTTTAATAAGTTCGAGCTTACACTCCAAGTTAGCTTTTTTTTTTATTTTGATGTAGTTACATATGATAAGCACAATAAAAAAAATCCCAAATTTATAAATGTAAAAATAAGCAAAATAAAAAAGCTTGAATTGCCTAATTCTTAATTTTTTTAAAAATTAATTTTTACTTTAAAATTAATTATTTTTATATTATAAATAATATAAAAATATTTTTGGAATACTTAAAAAATATAAGACTCATTTTTTTAAAAAAATTGCAGGTTTTAAAGTTTAAAAATTTAAATTAAAACACATTTTAAAGATGTTAAAGATATTTTATAGATATTGAAGTTTAGAGTTTTTTCTTAGCTCCAAGTCAGCCCTTTTTCATCTAATATAGCTTTTTTTAATTTATTTTTCTTATTAAAAAGTCCAACTCAGTACCTATTTAACACATCAACACAAATTTAACTGTGTTAGTGAACACATTAGCAATCTTAATACTGTTTGTATCACATCAATGTTACTCTAAAACCATAAGGACTAACATTGTATAAGGAAAAAATTATATGAATTTGAAACACTTAAAAAATGTAGGAACATATAATAAAACTAGAATAAAATATAGAGATTAAAAGTAATATTTTTCCTAAATTTTAGTTTAAAAGAGTTTTGCCTCTTTCCAAAAGAACGCAAGCTTTCCAAATACAGTAAAAGTATATGGATATATGGATTTCCCATACCCATTTGTTACCTAAAAAACCTAGGACCTGTTTTGTTTGATTTTTACCTTTTTTTAAGATTATTTTGTAATTTTAAAACTAAAAAATAATGTATCTTGAACTTAAATATATTATAAATTATTTAATTTTTTTAATTTTTTAAAATTGAAAATATTTTAAAATTGTTTGTTAAATCTAAAATTATTTTTAAATTAATATAATCAAATAGATCATATTTTTATTTTAAAAAATAATTTTAAGAAAGTTGTTTACAAATTAGTTTTAAAAAATTAAAAATAAAAAGAAATCAAACAAGAACTTATTGTTACATCTTGCATCGGAGGGATTTGAGGAGGGTTTTGGCTATATAAGCAAGTGCGCTACACATTTCAATAAGCTAGTTTTTTGAAGAGAGAGTAATGGCCCGTGATAAAGTAATGTCAGAGTCAAACCTAAGTTTGTCTAGTCAGTAGATTCCTTTTGGTAAGCCAACCGTGACGAAGATGTCGTGGATTGATCAGAAGAGATGTTATGTCCCACATCAGAGGGACTTGACAAGGGTCCTGGTTACATAAACAGGTATGCTGCACATCCTAATAAGCTAGCTTTTTAGAGAAAGAGAGAGTAATGAACCCATGACATTATGCTCCTAGTCATACAGAGTGCTTCAGACTATCTCACCACCATTATTTCAGAAGAATTCAAAAGTGAGTTAGTACTCCATTCAGCCCTTATTGTATAACAACTTTAATCGTTTTGCGCATCTTAAAAATTTTAATTTTTTCTTGATATCATAAAAAATGAGATATATATATATATATATATATTTTATCATTGGCTTTAAATCATGATTCAACTACATTAAATATCTTTTACATTAATCAAGAAAAGGATAAAATTGGAAAAGTAATTTAATTATTATAAGGTGTCATATAATGTGGATTAAAAATTTAAAAGGTGTCTTACAAATAGGACTGAAGGAATATATCATTAAAATAGTTTAAGAATGAAATAATTTTCAAGTTTACCCTATCTTTTTTACATGAATAAAATTTATCCCATTTAAAAACATAAATTTTATGAAAGTCATAAAAAAAATTGTAAATAGGAGTATTTTTTTAAATAAAAGTAATTCACCTTTTTTAAAAAAATAATTAATTTATTAGACTACCAAAGTATTCCTAAAAAATAACTAGCCTAATATATGCTTTTAGTCCTCTAATTTTATATAAGGTTTTAGCTTGGTCATTTAATTTTATAAAGTATATTTTAGTTTTTTAGCTCTAAAATCATTAGTGTCAAATGACTATTTTTTATGTTAATTATTATTATTTTAAAAAATTAAAATTAGTATATCAACATTTGACAATGATTTATTTGAGAATTTTTTTTCTGTTAAAACTAACAATATTAGAGTTTTAGGACTACAAAGATATTTTATAAAATTAAAATGCTAAAATAAAAACTTATATGAAATTAAAAGATCAAATGTATATTTTAGCCAAATAACTAATATATAAGATCATAATAGCAGGAGTAGGGACCACAAAGATTGGTCTAATTACTAAAAATTTTGGCTTATTGTGAACTTTTAGAACCCAACTCATCTAATTTTATTTTATAAAAAAATTGTAGGAGTATGATCCTATCCTGAGAAATAATAAATTAAAGGCTAAAGGAGGTTGGGTCTAGCACCTGACTCTGTCTCTAATAAAGTTGAAAACATGGGTTGATTTGAGTCTAGAAAATATTGACTCATAAAAAATGGATCCAGATAATCGGTGATCCAAATAAGTTAGCTTTGATGAGTTAGGGTTGACTTACTCAACCCATATTATTTATTAAAAATAAAATAAAATTAAAAAAATTAAAAAGTGGAGGGGGTTTGACACTAAAGCCTCACAAAACAAGTAGAGTTTGAAATGAATTTTGACGGAATTATTCTATCTCATATAGTTATGATGTGAACTTTTTAATTACATGAAATATCATATTAGAAATTCTTATTTGGGTATAAATTGTTTAAAAAAAATTAAATAAATGAGTTATCAAATTAGCATATTTAACCATCAATTTATAAAGGTTGGGCTGGGTTAATATATTTTCAATTAATGTGAAAATGAGTTCAACTCAACTCTTATTTTTTTCAACCCATATAGGTTGACTCGTATGGGAGAGGCAAATAATAATGGAAGCAGTTGTGTTATATATGAAAAAAATGTCGAAAAAGAAAATTGTCGAAGCGACAAATGAACCATCAAAATTAGGGGGAGCATCGGTTGGTTCGGTTCGGTCCCAAAATATGTAGAACCGATTGATCAAATAACACTAAAAATGAAAACCGAATCGAACCGAACAAACCAATCGAACCGAACAAGGACCGAACCGAAATTTGATAATTTGGTTCGGTCGGTTAATTTGATTTTTCAATTTCATATTGGGCTATTAAAATTGGGCCCATTTTTTAAATATTAAACAAACAACACTATAAAATTGGGCCTTTTTTTCTATTCGTTTTTTTAATATGAGCCCATTCTAATTACACCTATATGACATAACACCCAAATATTATAAAAACATGAATAATCAAATAAACAACCACAAATAAACACCGATGATCAAATAATGGCTTCATAATCTAGTCACAACACCTACCGATGAGAGTGATTAACTGAAATAGGGTTTCAAGTGATGATATTATTTTTTATTCTTTATTAAAATAAAAAAATAAAAATAAAATAAAATAATTCATAAATTACATATAATTTATAAATTAATAAATTATATGTAATTCGGTCAGTTCGGTCTATTCGATTTTAAATTTTACTAACCAAATCGAACTGATCAATCAAAATATTTAAAATAAAAAAATCGAATCCAAACTGAAAAATCAAATAAATCGAATTAAATAAATAAAATTTAATTTAATTCGGTTCGATTCTTAGTTTCGATTCAATTTTGCTCGTCAAAGTAGTGACACGTAAAGTGTGGGATGCATGACTCACCCATCTCCCTCCCTGCGCTGATTCTTTAAAATCTCGAGCAATGAGCGTCGCAACATGCAACCACCACCCTCTGAGACTCATCCTCTGCCGCCATATCCACGCCAGCCACACCCTTCTCTCTCGGGATCCGTTTATTTCGCCGTTTTCTTCATCCTCGCTCTCTCAAAACAGAGACCCACACAGCTTCATCACAAGCGTCCCGTGCTTCAGGGATATCCTTCTTCCAACCTCTTCCCTTCTCTCTCCTCTTCAATCTCTTTCTCAATTTTCTCCTCATTGGGCTTTTCTCTTCCTGCTTCAAAATCAAAACTTGATGAATTACTTCCTCTGAGAAGTAAGATAAGAGGAAGATCAAAATAAAAGTTTTCTCCTCCTTCAAAATTTTTTGGGTAGAAATGGAACAGAAAGGCTTGTTGATCTCAGCGTTGAGTGTTGGGGTTGGAGTTGGGGTGGGTATAGGGTTGGCTTCTGGGCAAAGCGTAAGCAAATGGGGAGCCAATACCGGTTCCTCAAACGCCCTTACTGCAGAAAAGATAGAGCAAGAAATGCTTCGATTGGTTGTTGATGGCAGAGAAACCAAAGTCACCTTCGATCAATTCCCTTATTATCTCAGGTCAATCCCTTTCGTCTTCATGCTTTTAATTTTTTTTTTCCTTGTTATTAATAGCCCTTATAGGTGGTTTCTCATATGTTTCTGCATATGTGCACTGATGTCTTCAATCACTATCCATTTCGGAGTTGTTTATATGTTCGTTCCTGTTTCATTATTTACATGTTTCCATCTTGTTTGTTAACTTATTTCGTTAACTGTGATTATGGATATTTAGCATAACGAAATATTTATTTTCTAGGAAGGTGGAAGTTTGTTGGCATGCTTAAATATTAGATCTGATTGTCATATTTCTCACATAGTTGACAAATGCCTTCGTATCATTCGGAATGACTGTAATTCTATAGTCATGTGCAATTCTGTATTCTTGAGTGCATGATTATACCTTGTCCCATGGCCTTATCATTTTCTACGACTATGTTCTTCTTTCTATCTTTTGCTTGTTTCTTTGGCTCATGACGAGTAGGTTACTTTGTTAATCATTGATTCCTTGTAACATATATAAATATGATTTCATGCTAATTAAATGGGGAGTTTCATAGGAAGAAAGTGTTTTTACTTGATCATGAGCCATCTACGTCCTGTTGGACTTGATGAAAGCTTGACCCGATCATACATCAATCAGAAGCTCTTTTCTTTTTTTCTTTTTAATATAAAGAATCTCATCAGTTCTGGCTTCACCGTTTCCAACTTTTATTTCTTAACAGTGAGCAGACACGCGTGTTGCTGACAAGTGCTGCTTATGTTCATTTAAAACATGCTGAGGTCTCTAAATTTACTCGGAATCTTTCTCCTGCAAGCCGGACTATTCTACTCTCCGGACCAGCAGGTATCTGCTGAGACTCCTTTGTTTTATCTTTTTCTGAGAAGGGATTGATATGTTTTTGTATTTAAAGTCACATTCATACTAGTTACACTTTCCCCTCTTCTGTGTAGAACTTTACCAACAGGTGCTTGCCAAGGCTTTAGCTCATTACTTTGAAGCGAAGTTGCTTCTGTTGGATTTAACTGACTTTTCATTGAAGGTAAGCGTGAGCATTTTTTGTGTCATTCCTAGCTTTCTCCTTTTGCTCATGAACGTAATGATTGTTTTGTCATCTGTACAGATCCAAAGTAGATATGGTTCTGGCAACAAAGAATCCGTAAGCTTTTTCTAGTTTCTTCTTTACTTCTTTAACTTGTTTGTTGGATCAAATTTTACCATCATTTAATGCTTAAGGCTCTTACAGAAAACTGTTTTCTGAGTATTATAGATGAGTGTTCGCTAGTTACTTTTTTCGTTCTTGAACTAACATTAAACAACTCGAGCTCTTCCTGTTTCTGATTCTAGGTTTTTAAAAGGTCCACTTCAGAGTCAACTTTGGAGAGACTATCTGGCTTATTTGAATCATTTTCTATCTTTCCACAGAAGGGGGAACCTAAAGGTACAAATTGATGAAGCCCTCTTATTCTCTAGTACAAGATTTGGCCGTACAAGCCTTTGGTTTCTAGTGTTCCTTTTATATCTTAAAAAGGAGGAAAATAAGAATAAATGATAACTCTAAATTGAGAATACCTCCTATAAAAGGTTTCAGACAATAAATAGGAAAGGCAGACTGATAAAATTAGCTTTAACTGTGGTTTGTTTCATGTTTTTCCATATGCTGATGAGCCTGTTTATGGAAAGCGAGGAAAAAAAAAAGTACTTATGTCTTTTTCCTTCTCCCTTTTACTGAGACATTAGCATTGCATTTGTATGTTGGTTAATGTAAATATCATTAAACAGCAACTGTTTTAAGATCCATATGCCTGACCAGGGGTTTGTAGTTGCAGGAAAGATCATCAGACAAAGCAGTGGAGTGGACCTCAGATCAATGTAAGTAGACTAGATGATCATATATTGACTTGATATTATATATGACCTTTTTTCTAGTTTGTCTATATCTCTTAGTACATTTGTTTCCTTTCTGCTTTCAGGGGGACTGATGCATCTTGCAATGCTCCTAAAATTCGTCGGAATGCTTCTGCCTCTGCAAATATCAGTAGCCTTGCCTTGCAAAATGCTCCTTCTAATCCAGGTTACTTCAAGAACTTATGGAATCGAATCAATGATGGTTTTTGGTTTTAAGTACTAGTTTGTACAATCATTTTCGCTTGGTTAGTGTTTCTTTCTTGTGATTTCTTGTTCCCTTTTGTCTCTCTTCAGGTCCTCTTAAGCGCACAAGCAGTTGGTCATTCAATGAAAAGCTTCTTATACAATCTCTTTACAAGGTAATATATGGAAGAGTCAGCATTGATGTGTTACTGTACTTCCAAAATTAAACAAGTTTGTAGATAATTATGTTTAGAAAGAAAGTGATTGGTGGAAGTTGCACTTGCAGGTCCTTAGTTATGTGTCAAAAACTTACCCCATCGTGTTGTACCTGCGGGATGTTGATAAGTTGCTAAATAGATCACAAAGGACTTACAAGTTGTTACAAAAAATGCTGGAGAAACTATGTGGACCAGTTTTAATTCTCGGTTCACGAGTTCTGGATTCTGTTAATGACTACAATGAGGTAGACGAGAAACTTGCTTCAGTCTTCCCTTACAACATCAAAATTAGACCTCCAGATGATGAATCGCATCCTGTCAGCTGGAAAACTCAACTTGAAGAGGATATGAAAAAGATACAGGTTCAGGATAACAAAAATCATATTTTGGAAGTACTTGCTGCCAATGATCTTGAGTGCGATGATCTAGATTCCATCTGTGTGGCAGACACAATGGTTCTCAGCAATTACATAGAAGAGATTGTTGTGTCAGCAATTTCTTATCATTTAATGAAAAACAAAGACCCAGAGTACAGAAATGGGAAACTTGTTATTTCATGCAATAGGTGAGACAGAGACTGGCAACTTCGATGTACATAAGCAATCTTCTTTCCACTTGCTAACTTTATTCATTTATTCATTTAAAACAGTTTATCCCGAGCGTTGGGTATATTCCAAGACGGAAAATCCAATGGAAGAGATACATCAAAATTGGAAGCTCAAGATGTGAAATCTGAGGTTTGTACTATCTGACGATGTCTGAATTATTAAGTTTGGAACTATAGCTGTGTTATAATATATATGAAGTAAAGTCTATAGTAAGCTACTGTTCACAAGCTGTAAACAATACATCTCATTCTTTAAATTCCTTGCAATGTATGGGAGAAGGGAGAACATGTCGAGTCAAATAACGCATTTGTTTTTGGCCAAAAGTCAAGTAGTGCATTATTTCTCTATCTTTTTGTTTTTGCTTTCTAATTTTCTTTATTCTTCCCTTTGTACAGAAGGAAATAAGGGAAGGTGCTGCTGTGAAGCCTGAAGCAAAGTCTGAAAATGGTGCTCCAGAAAAGAAAACTGAAGGAGCAGCGAGAGCTTCAGTGGCAAAGGCTGATAATGCAACTTCAGTTCCTCCAGAACCCAAAGTCGTTGTAAGCCTTAACCTCTGATTTTATCAGATGCAAAATAAATAAATATATAAAATATTCAAAAATAAATAAATAAATAAATAAATAAAGATAAATAATTATTCTATTGCTCCCTTATAGGAACCTCCTCCAGATAATGAGTTTGAGAAGCGCATAAGGGCAGAGGTAATACCAGCAAATGAGATTAATGTGACATTTTCTGATATTGGTGCCTTAGAAGAGACAAAAGAATCCCTTCAAGAACTGGTGATGCTTCCACTACGAAGGCCGGACCTTTTCACCGGAGGCCTTCTAAAGCCTTGTAGAGGAATATTGCTGTTTGGTCCTCCTGGCACAGGGAAGACAATGCTGGCTAAGGCCATTGCAAGGGAGGCTGGAGCGAGCTTCATCAATGTATCCATGTCTACCATAACTTCCAAATGGTTCGGTGAAGATGAAAAGAATGTTCGAGCTTTGTTCACACTGGCAGCCAAGGTCTCCCCAACTATTATATTTGTTGATGAGGTCGATAGCATGCTTGGCCAACGCACAAGAGTTGGAGAGCATGAAGCCATGAGAAAAATAAAGAATGAATTCATGGCTCATTGGGATGGCCTTATGACAAAACCAGATCAGCGCATCCTTGTTCTTGCTGCAACCAACAGGCCCTTTGATCTAGATGAAGCCATTATCAGGCGATTCGAAAGAAGGTATCTCCCTATTTCATCTTGCTCGTTTCTCTTTCTGCTGTTTTAGTGTATGTTGAACTATGGGATGTACAATCAGATAAGATCAACAATGGCAATTATGAGTTGAATGTTTCTGAAACAACTTTTTCCTTTGATAAACAGAATTATGGTAGGGCTTCCATCTGCAGAAAACAGGGAAAAGATTTTGAGGACTCTTTTGTCTAAAGAAAAGGTAGACGATCAAGTTGACTTTAAGGAGCTAGCAACTATGACAGAAGGATATACTGGAAGTGATTTGAAGGTACTTTAACATTTCTAATATTTTCCGATGTTATTCATAATGGTTTTAACCATCTTTCGTTAGTGCTTCTGCTATATTTATTTACTATAACTTTGAATTGTTTCAATACAGAATCTATGCACAACTACTGCTTATCGGCCTGTTAGAGAGTTAATTCAGCAGGAGAGACTGAAGACTCTGGTAACAATGCAGTTTGTTTATAAATCTAATTGTGTTCATCATGATGATGAGTGATGACCCGTGATACTTATTCTTTTCCTTGTAGAAGAAGAAGCAGAAAGCTGCTAATAAAGATGTACAAGACAGACATAGAGAACAATCTACAACGGAAGATGCCCCAGATGCTGTGAATGCACAAGAGGAAGTTGAACAGGAAAGAGTTATTGTCCTTAGGCCATTGAACATGCAGGACTTCAGAGAGGCCAAAAATCAGGTAACAGGGCCCTTCCCTCTGAACTTTGTAGAGTTTCCTCTTAACTACACAGAATGATGAATGAAATAGAAAGTAGAACGAAAAATGATTGTGGTGTCTCTAAAAAATAGCTAAGTGACTTAAACTGTTGAATAATTATTAGAGATATAATAAAGGGATAATAAAACTTTTAGTCCCTTAAGTTTAATTTTTAACAATATGGTCCTTGATGTTCTCTTAAATTATCATATTAGTCCTTTAAGCTTTTAATTTACTTTCAAATTAATCTAACATGTAAAGTATTTTGATGATTTGCTATGCATTTGTAGCTAAATGAGAACAAATTAGTGCTCAAATCAATTTAATTTTTATTAATTTAGTCCCTTATAATGCGTTTTATTCTTTTATTTTTAAAAATTTTTAAAAGTTTTCTTTTCTACTTAAATAATTATACTTCTTTTCATTAACTTATGTGTTTGCCATCAATATTTTGTTATGCATGTAAGCAAACTTTAACCATGTTATTTGCTATTAAAACAATAGACACTGAATCAATAACTGAAGCAAATTTAAGGGATTGAATTTAAGGGATTGAATCGATCAAAATTAAATTTGAGGCACCAAACTTGAGGGAGTAAAAGTTTTATAATCCCATAAATAAACATATTGAAGAGTAGACTAAAGAAACTACCTTTCTTCCTTAATATTAAAATAATAAATGTTTAATAGTTTTGGGAACATAGGTTGCTGCAAGCTTTGCAGCTGAGGGAGCAGGAATGAGTGAGTTGAAGCAGTGGAATGACTTATATGGTGAAGGTGGTTCAAGAAAGAAACAGCAATTAAGTTACTTCCTATGAGATTTGCATTCAAGGAAATTAAATAATCCACAGCTGAATCCTTCTGGTAGAATCGTAAGTCTCCATTTTCAGAATTTGATGATAGTGAGGAGGCCATTTTCCACTGAGCAAACATCTATCAAGCTATATCAGTAAATACTTCACACAGTAGTATGTTGCTGATGCTTCATTTTGAGCACAAGAACAGCTACATTTAGTGTTGTACGTCCATGGCTCCGTGGATGGAGAATGAAACATATATAGTCCATAGTTAAGGAGTATATATATATATATATATATATAATGTAGTTAGTCTTAAAGAGGAGCTTGTATTATCTGTGCAATGGTGTGGTCAGCTTTCTGTATGTTACAGAAGTTTGGAGAGAGGCATTGTTTGTCAGCACGATGATGATTGTTTTATCAAACTTCCTCTCTTATTATGGAAAAGAAGAAATCGATGATGATTCAATGTTTATGTTCTAGCTAGCTTGTATTTTAATGTTCACAAACTTTTAAGTCTCGCTTATATGATCGGAAAGAGTTGTGAATAATGTAGGTTGTATTAGAGTGTTATATATAGAGAGAGAGAGAGAGAGAGAGCGATAGAGATTTAGATTTTTGCTCAATTGTCTTTTCTATATGCATCACACGAGAAATATAAAACTTTGTAATATGGAAGTTTGTTTTGGTGATAAAATCTCAAGTATTAAAAATTAGACCAAACTGATTAGTTTGACGAGAAAACTAATGAGCTAAGTGAACTGGTCTATTCTAATTTTTAAAATTTAAATTATGTTCTTTTGACTGAATGAGTGCATTCATTAATCAAAAGTGATTACATAACAGGAACATCATCCAAAGTTTTACTTTCATCAAGCACCATCTTTTATGAGGGAAGTAAGGATTGATTAAAGGGACAAAACAACTAAATTATTACTTTCATCAACCACCACCTCCAGTGAGGGAAGTAAGGATTGATTAAAGGTACAAAACTTAACATTCTAAATTATGAGAAAGCTTAGCTAATTTATCAGCATAATTTAAAGGGTAAATCATATATTACTTCCTTTAACTTTGAATCTTGTACACATAATCTCTTTAATCTTTGAAACTTTATAGTGAACTCCTTCAACTCTTGATGACTCTATATGATTAATTTTATATATTAATTATCCATAATTATATATACATAACTTAATAGTCAACTAATTTCCTTTCTATCAACAGCTATTTCGATGACACTTTCAAATCTAACAAATATTTGTGATTATTATCTGTCACATAAATAAGATGAAAACATGGCTTTTGTTAACGATTCTGAAATGTCAACAAATCTAGCACCCAGGGTGGGGTAGCCTGTGTTGCCGATTTTTAATTATCGATAATGGCCAGATATGTTGAATTGTTGATGCCTTAGCAAACGTTTGTGAAAATGTAATTAGGTTTTAAAAGATTGAATTAAAAACTATTGGTCCTCCTAATTTTTCAAAAAAGGAGTTACAAATATTGATTTACACTATTATAAGCAGGAATCTCGTTATAATATGAAAATTACTTTTGAATCTTAAATACCTTAATTAAAAGTGAAATTCTTAAATTTATAGTTGTTTGAATTGGTATTTTAATTCATTTTAAAAAAAATATAATTATTAGCACATACAGTTTTATTGGATTTTATTTTTAGTCCATGTAATTTATTTTTAGTATTTTCAGTTCTTATAGTTTCTTTAATTTAACATTGTTAAAGACTTGAGAAACAAATATTACTTAATATTGCTGAAACTATAAAGATTAAAAATATTAAAAAATTATAAAATTAAAAGTACAACTTGATCAAACTATAGGACCTTGTGTTTTCCCTTCATTTTACATATTTAGTTGGAAACGTAACTGTCCTTTTAAAACTTTATTATATCATTATCTCTAATGTACATTTACTTTACTTTGTCACCTTTTTTGTTCTGGACAAATACTTTACTTTGTTACTTTTTACACTTTTAGCTGTCAAGATCGTTTACTGTTATAATAATTAGTTACTCTTGTTAGCACATTGTTAATGAATAATCTTAGCCACAAAAATGGGCGGAAAAGTTGGCTTTTCTTTACATAAAGTTAATTTATAGTTACCGACCAATCTACAATATCATGCTAAGTGTGATTTTGGGAGTCACTCCTTAAGCAAGGCTTAATTATTATTTTTTCTGAAAAAATTGTATTTACAATAAAAAGTTAGGTTAAAGTACTAATTTGTTTTTCATTTTAAGAGCACTAGGTATCCTTGAGTGAAGGATGTGTAATGTTGCTTTTCAAGTATTAAATAATATAGTGATATTGTTTATTTATTAAATATCAGTTAATTTAATTATTAGTTGAATTAAAAAATTACAAAGAATGAAAAAATTACAAAAAAAGACCTTATATAAAATTAATATTAATTTTGTGTTAAATATTTATTGGGAGAGCTTTGCCACTAATGTGATTTTATCGTTCTCCGTGTATGAATAATGTGTAACGTATTAAAAAAATTAATACTAATCAAGTCTCTCAAATCAATATATCCCCTAATACTTTGCCATGGGAGCTGAGAATTTCATTAGTTCCAAACTCATTTCAATGTTCTGGTGAACAGTGACAACTTAAGGTTACTTAATGGTTCATGCATTGCATAGATTTGAAGTTTGGACTTCTGGTTAAACATTTTGCCTTTTTGTATTGTTCTAAAAATTGTACCCTTCAATTAAATGCTTTTAACTATGATACCCTTTGTTGTCCAAAAAAAAAAAACTATGATATCCTTTGGCGAAATGGAATTATAGATCTAAACATTGTACCCTTCAATTAAATGGCCAACTCCTGATTTTGACTCTGATACCCTTTGATTAAATGGCCCAGTTCTTAGGTTAACCATTTTGCCCTTTGGTTAAATGGGCCACAACTAGTTTTCTTTTGTTTTAATTCAGGCTTATCAAGTCTAGAAGTAATGGCTGAGCTTTTACTAGTCCAAATGATCTCGTGTGACACCGCATAGATGGCTAAATGTTGCTATATGAGTTGAGGGTATGACCAAATCTTACCTATTAACGTCAGCATGAGTCAAATCTAGTTGTATTAATTGTGTCTCACCTTGATTCTTTAGTCTTGGTATGTGACCATCTTAGTTTTTCGTATGTTTTTTTTAATACAAAAGAAGCAAAAAGTAAAGAAAAAGAAAGCAACAAAGGAAAGAAAACGAGGGCTTAAGGTGGGTTTAGATAATCAGGAAATTGGGCACATGCAGTGTTAGATGATAGAAACCAGGCACCACTCCCAAAGATTGCTTCGCAAGAGAGTTAGCCTTAGCATTCTGAACTTAATCAATAATGCATAGACCCACTTCCTAACTCTAGCTAAGTAGATCATGAATCTCCATAATAAGCCCACAATACATATGGATGTCTACATTCCCTCCTTTTATTAGGTTCACAATTTCTATGGCATCACTATGCAGAATTAAGGAGTGGAATCCATTATCCCATGTGATCTTTAGACCTATTAAACATGCCCACAGTTCTGTAGAAAGGGCATCACCTTCTTGAAGCCTAAGCATAAAATCTCTCAATGGGCTACCATTATGCTCCTTCAAGACTCCTCTACAACTTGCTGCATTTGACCGCTATGAATATGCACCATTCACAAAAAGTTGCGATATGTTTGAGTTATATCCACTGGTTGGGATATTAGGTCTATTCCTTCCCAGTGTCATCACTCGAAGATCTTACTAGTCTTGTGTCATCCACTTTAAGATGACCTTTACATGGTTCGAGATCAAAGCATTTGATTTCGTAGTATTTTGAAAAATACATTCATTTCTAAACTTCTAAAGAAGCCATTACACTATTGCGAATTAGCTCTTCCAGTCATCATTTATCATACCAACATTTATGGAAATATTCATTCGACACCAATCCTAAAGCTAAGCGCTGAAGAATTGATCTACAAAATCTGGTTTAATGTAAGCTTTCCACAAATCTTGGATTTCTTGGCAATCTCGTAGGACATGAAGAATATCTTACCTGCATCCTTACACCATGTGATACTAGCATCGTTACTTAAGTGCTTCCGTACATGAAGTTTATTAGTCAGCAGCTTGTGATATAGCACCATCCACATAAATGATTTACATCTTTGAGGAATCCTCGTTTTCCAAATTTACTCCATAATGGGTTCAACGTTCCCTCCTTCTTCCTAAGATAAGCATATGTAGTCTTTATAGAAAAATGGCTATGCTTTTCATATTTCCATCTAATTGTTTCTTCTCCATTGGGCTACAAACAATACTCTATACTTGAATGTAAGAGATCCCAAGTCTGCTTAATACCACTATGAACTCTCGAACTAGGTCTTTTATGATCTATTTGTGGAATCAAGTCATTTCCACACTTATATTTACTCCTCACCACCCAAGACCAGAGAACCTCCTTTTTATGTATTAGACCCTAACCAACTTTCATTAAAAAAGCTTGGTTCTAGGTATATAAATATGGAATACGGAGGCCTCCTTCATCTTGTCTATACACACAATTTCCCAAGACACAGCATGTGTCTTTTTCTTCTCAACTGTGATCCCTAAAGGAAGTCTTGAGAAGCCTTTTCTACCTTTTTGCTGTGTTCTTTAGTAGCAAGGCTATTTGCATGGCATACATTGGAACTATAGAATACCGAAGAGATCAATGTATTCCTGTCTGCAAAGGAGATATTTTTTGCAACCTAACCACTCAACTTTGACTTCACTTTATCAACCACATAACTGTATATGTTTTTAGTCACACGACCATGATGCATGGGGACACAAAGGTACTTTCCCAAGTTCAGAGTCAACTATACACCCAATAGGTCACTAAGTTGTTGCCTTCGTATGTGGCTCACATTTGTGGAGAAAAAAAAACCCTAGTCTTCCCTTTGCTAACTCTTTTCCCAAACACTAGACAAAATTTCTCAAAACAATGATTAATGACACCAACCTACTCAACCGCTACCTCTGTAAAAAACTATAAAGTCGTCTGCAAAAAATAAGTGAGAGAAGGTGGCCTATCTTTGTTAAGTCTAATAGGTATCTAGTTCCCTTCTCCAATCTCATTTTGAATAAGCTAATTTCTCAATACAAAGGAAAAGAGATAAGGAGAAATAGGGTTGCCTTTTCTGATCCCACGAGATGGGAAAAATTCATTTGTTTTACTACCTTCCCAGAGGGTTTACATATTAGAAGTACTTAGATAGAATTTGATCACATTGGATAGAACACTAGGAATCTATGCATCCTCTAGGCAAGAAAGAATAAAATCTTATCGAAGTCGATCATAAGCTTCTCTAGACCAATCTCGATAGCCATAAAGCCTCTCTTCCCCTTCATATTCTGCATAGAATGAATCACGTTTTGAGCTATAATAATGTTATTAGAACTCAATATTCTTGGTATGAAAATACTCTAATTTAAAG